TGAATTATATTGCTTTTTTTCATTTTCAAAAAGATATAAATATTATTTTCTTAATAGAATTATGATTTAGTCTATTTAATGTTAAAATATTATTCTTTGAATTAATATTTTAAAATATATTTTTATTAAAATTATACTAAAATACTTTTAATTTAACAACCCACCTTTAACTTACTTCATATTCTAACACATGGTTTATACATAAGAAAAAAAAAATTATAACATTCTTTTCATATCCTGCTTTCAAAAGTCGTATAGTGTAAGATTTTCATAATGTTATAGAAATCAATAATATTTTAATGATTTAATAATTCAGATAATCCTTATTTTCTGTATTTTTTACTTTTTTTTCACAATTATATTCTTATTTTTTAAAATTTTAAACAATTAGATTATTGTTGTTGGTTTTGTATTAATACGCTCAAAGAGATGTCATATATTAGTTTAATGATTAAATTAAATTAATTGTAACCTAAATTTATAAATTTTACGACTGTTTTTATATTTAAGAATTTTACCATCTTATATTTTAATTTTTTATTTTTTAGATCATTACTAAAGTGAGGAGATTTCTATTAATACAGTAAAAATATATATTTAATACATGCAATCACAAAATTAGTTAATATACCATGTTATATATATGACTTCATCTTAAACATATCATAATTATGTATAAATTATCATTTAAAAACCATACAATATGACATAAAATAATTTTTCATTTAATTCTTGGACTGACAATGTCTCAGATCCATAAATTGTCACTTGAGCAAATCAGGTAAGATGATAAAAAGGTATACACCAAATTCTCCCTGCTCAAGTTGTGTAATGTTACATAAGCTTCTAACCAACATTTAAGTCATAAAACAAAACATTATTTTCTCTCAAGTTTCTCTTCACTCAAACTATAAAATGCCGTTTGAACAATGTTTGTCTTAAAAAATTCTGTTACCATGGAAAAGATGAAGATAAGATTCACATATTTTCATTTATCTCCTAGGTAGAATCAGTAAACCTTATATTATAAAACAAATATTTCATACTACAGTGTTTCACTCTAATGTATATAAATGCTAACTAGATTAACATAAAAAAATACCTTATCATTTAGTTGCTTTATATTAAGTTCCAGAACATACTTGGATCAAGCACATTCTTTCTTTTTAAGTTGCCAAACATGTGATATAATATATATATATATATATATATATATATATCTATTTAAATAATTATTTATTATATATTATATATATTATATATATATATATATATATATATATATATTATTATATATATAAATTAGTTTGTAGTTTTTTATATTTTTAATTTTTCTAAAAAACTCTTTTAGGATATTAAGGATCATGATTATCGCACATTAACATATATAAATTATAATAGAATATTAATTTTGATTAATGAGATATCTAATGAAAATGTGTTCTGTATTCTCCAAACTTTTTTTCCCAATTTATTTTTTGTGTTTTTTTTCTTCTCTCATAATTTTTTGATGACTTATTGTGAAATAACCTTTATGATCATAACATAACATAATTTCTTTTTATAAACTAAAGTCTATCAAACTAGTTTAATTTATCTTGTATTTATTTTTTATTATTAATCTCCATATTACTAAATAAGTTCTTATAGGATGAAGCCACATAATATTTCAAATGATAATTACATATAAAATTAATGTAAACAAAAAGGGCACCCTGAAACGAAAGAAGCAACCGACTCAAAAAAAGAAGCAAAAAAACCAACTTATTGTATTTGAGAAATTGCGGGTTCGAGACTTAAAGATCTCGTCGTGAGGATTACTTTGACAGTCTCTGATCATCAAACCACATAAAAAGGAAGTGAGCAACTCTTAGAGAGAAGTTAGATAACTCTAGAAAAGTGTATTGTTAGAGAGATAATGTGTTTTAAAATATGAAACTTGTTCATAATGAAACTATTTATATTAAAATCATTTAATATTAAAAATAACTTGAGTCCACTATTTTTAAAGCACTACTACATCTAAAATGTCATTAGTCTACTGTTTGTACATCTTCCTAACAAGAAAATTTTTTGCATCGAAAATTTACTCTTCAGTAGAGAAAAGTATGCTCTCTTCATCTTTCTTATCACAAAACCACCGATATATTATCCCAGACATTTAACTGACTAAAACATTGCCTTGCGTAAAATTCTGTAGTGTTCAACAATGTAGGTTAGTCTAGCATTACTCTTAAAAAAATTCCTCAACTCCAAAATCTAATATTTAAGATCTTTTTATGACTAATCAAACAATTTGTATAGTCAAAGTCACCTCCCCCCCCCCCCCCCCCCCCCAAATATTTACACTAACTCTTATAAGTTAGACCAAAACGGAGCTAGCCTAACTTCAAACTAGAGGCCTCCCAATATGTTTCACATAATCATATATCCTCTTTGAAGTACTACACAATTGACTTGATCACACACAACTCTAATCTATTGGCAAACACTAACACTCTGATTCACCCATATTCATAACTACTCTAACATAATTAACATTTATATAATTAACTAAATATAAATAACATAATCTTGTTAAAAATATTTAATAAAAATATCAATTTTAATAAAAATATTTGTAAAGATTTATATACAAATTAAATTTTGTTTGAATTTGGAGAGACACAAGACTGTTTAATTTTTAAGAAAATTAAGGACTATATGAGACAATAAAAATACAAGAAACAAATTGAAGACTATGCAATGGACATGTGACTGACAGTGTGACGTGACACTAATAGTGTCACATGCCACAATATCAGTTGACACGTGACATTTTAAAACAAAATTATAAAAATAAAAATATTTTACAAAACAAAAAAAACTATGAATTACGTGACACTCTCTTTAGCGGTGTTAGTATGAAACTAACGTCAAAAATTTAACTGCTTCCATTTTCAAAAATAAAGACCCAATTGAGAAAAAAAAATAAGAAACTTATCATAAAAAAAAAAGTAAAAAAGAAGAAAGAAAAGAATCATATATATGATTAACGGCTTAAGTAACACTGATGGTCCCAAATTTTTCTCAGCTTTGTTGAAAATGACCCTCATTTTTTTAAATGTAAATGTATCCTAAAGGTGGTAATTAGTGTTCAATTGAGGCATTTTTGCAAACGTCGTTTAAATCGTTAACGAAACAAAATAACCAATAAGTGATTAACATGGTGAGTATTTCCTGACGTGGCTCGAGACCGATGATAAGGATGGTTCACGCCAATGAGGGCTGACAGTGGCAACCTCTTTTTTTCATCTAAAAGTAGGGTTTCGATTGCATCAGGAGATTAAGGAAAAGCTTGCTCCAATATCATAACACAATAATAGGGTTTCTAGTTCACGACGAATATGGTGAAACTTCGTGATAGTTGGTGCTTCTAGGCTTTTTTCCGAAGGTGAATGAAGACGCGCGGTGTAGAAGCTTGAGGAAGAGGCGCTGGTGCGATTGGGGTTTGCGTTTCTACGATCTGGGTTTTGCTCGCGAGAGGTTAAGATGATGTTGGTGGCTCTTCACACCGTTGCCAACGCGAAATCGCGCTTCTGGTTTGAAGGAGATTTTTGGTCTGTGGGTTTTGATCGTTTGGGTTTTAGGTTGGTGGTGGCTGGTGGAGATGAAGAAGCTTCACGACGTTGCTCAAAGGTGCGACGAACTCACGATTCGATTTCGTGATGCTTGTGACGGAGTGTTTGGAAAAGCAGCGTGACCATCTGGTTAGGGTTTCGAAATGTCTCATGATGGAGGTGCAAAGATGGTGGCTAGCCGTGAGCGTGGTTAGGGTTAGGTGGTGGCTAGGGTTTCTGTGTAGGGGGAAATTAGGGTTCTAGAGGTAGGAGATGATGATGACGTGTTAGGGTGATGTGTCATTGATTGCACGGCTGGACATTTGGCTGTTAGCGATTTAAACGGCGTTTGCAAAAAGAACTAAATTGAAAACAAATTACGACTTTTAGGACTATATTGAACATTTTAAAGATATAAGGTTATTTTGAACAAAGTTGACAAAAATTGGGACCATAAGTGTGACGTGGCACTAATAGTGCCACATGCCAGAATATCAGTTTGACACGTGACATTTAAAAAAAATTATAAAAATAAAAATATTTAAAAAATAAAAAAAACTACGAATTACGTAACACTCTCTTTAGCTGTGTTAGTACGAAACTAACGTCAAAAATTTAATTGCTATCCTTTCTAGAAAATAAAGACCCAGTTGAAAGAAAAAAAAAAGTAAGAAACTTACATAAAAAAAAGAAAAAAAAAATAAGAATCATATGATTAAACCTTATACTTTTGTATTTAGTTCAAATAAGGCTGAAATAAGAGGCCCATATAAACTTTCAAAGCATAAACAAAAACAAAAGTTGTTTGTTGTTAGCATGATATCAAACTGTCTTCCAGTTTCAGTTGGGGCGAGCCCAACAAGGTTGTTGTCGGATAAACGCACCACACTGTATCAAGTGCGCCAAATTCACGCCTACTTCATCAAAACAAAGCTCATCAGTCACGCGCTTTCTGTCGCCAAACTTGTCAACGTTCTTTCTCAGAGCAGTGTCCCCTACGACGCCGTTTGCGTTTTTGTTCATGCACTTTCTGGCTTCCGTGACATCAGGGGAGTCGAGTTTTTGGTTCCTCCCACACTCAAAGCTTGTGGAAAGTCGTGGGCCTTTGAGGAAGGGAAACAAATAATGGGGTTCATTTTGAAAACCCATTTGTGGAACGACCCGTTTGTTACCAACTCCTTAGTTCGCATGTGTTTGGAGCTTGGCATGGTTGAACTTGCAAGGTCGGTGTTCGATAAAATGCCTACAAGAGACTTGATTTCTTGGAACTCGTTGCTTTCGGGTTACTTGAAAGCCGGTCAGATTGACATGGCACGTGAGGTGTTTGAGAGAATGCCTCAAAGGGACCTGGTTTCGTGTAATACCATGATTGATGGGTATGGGAAGCATGGGTCGTGCGAGCTTGCTGAGGAGGTTTTTATGGGCATGGGTGTCAGGGATGTGGTGACTTGGACGAGTATGATTTCAGCTTTTGTTCTCAATCATCAACCAAAGAAAGGGTTACGTTTGTTCAGAGAAATGTTGAGTTTAGGAGTTAGACCTGATGCTCCTGCTGTTGTTAGCGTCCTTTCAGCCATTGCTGACCTTGGTTTTGTTGAGGAGGGAAAATGGATACACGATTATATAGTTTCTAATAAGATACTTGGCAGTTGTAGTTTTATTGGATCGGCTCTCATAAACATGTATGCTAAATGTGGTCAAATAGAAAATGCCTACCACGTATTTAGAACCATTTGTCACCGGCGAAACATTGGCGATTGGAATTCTATGATCTCTGGTTTAGCCTTGCATGGTCTTGCCCGTGAAGCCATTGAACTTTTTCAGGAGATGGAAACGGAAAAACTTAAGCCTGATGATATAACTTTCTTGGGAATTTTAAGTGCTTGCAATCATGGAGGTCTTATGGATGAGGGTCAGTTTTATTTTGAAACCATGCAAATGAAGTACAAGATAGTCCCCAAAATTCAACATTACGGATGCATTGTTGACCTACTTGGTAGATCAGGTTGCTTAGAACAGGCACTTGAGGTTATACATGATATGCCTTTTGAGCCTGATGTTTTAATTTGGAAGGCCATTCTTAGTGCCAGCATGAAGCACAATAATGTTGTGTTGGGGCACACTGCTGCATTGAGAGCCATAGAGTTGGCTCCAAAAGATTCAAGTTGTTATGTTCTTCTCTCGAATATCTTTGCCAAAATGGGAAGGTGGGATGAGGTGAGTAAAGTTAGATTGATGATGAGAAAAAGGGGAGTAAGAAAAATTCCTGGATGTAGCTCTATTCTGGTGGATGGTGAAGTGCATCAATTCCTTGTGGGGAAGGCCATGAATGTGGGGTATAACCAAAGTGTTTTGCTGAAGTTAGAGGAGGTTGTGTGTAAGCTGAAATCAGAGGGATATGAACCTGATCTCAATGAAGTTTTTCTAGACATTGAAGAGTGTGAAAAAGAGAGCCAACTAATTCTTCACAGTGAAAAATTGGCTCTTGCTTTTGGAGTGTCAAGTCTCCCAGAGGGTGTTCCCATTCAAATAGTGAAGAATTTAAGAATTTGTTGTGATTGTCACAAGTTCATGCAACTGGTTTCAAAAATCTACAAACGTCAAATTATAGTCAGAGATCAAAACCGTTTTCACCATTTTAGTAAAGGTTGTTGTTCCTGCAGAAATTATTGGTAATTTTGTTATATATAGGTACCATAATGTATAAATATTGTTCAATTGCCACATCCAACAGGATGATTATGTAATGTTCTAGGATTATCATTTACAAAATTATACCAGTACAGAATTCATCATTTTCATAATTTTTACCATAATATTGATCTAAATAAAAAATAATAATAATGACATAAAGATATATAATAGGCATAAAGAAAAAAAAAATTATTTAAATTTAATCTCACAAATTGAGTTTAAAAAAACTATTCATATACACATCATGATAATTTATTTTGTTCCATTATCAATAAACAGCTTAATTTGATTTTTTAAAATTATTCCAATTATTCTTTTCTGTCCAAATCGACTTAAAGGGATTATGCTAATAGATGGTGAAATATTTAAATTCCCATTAAAAAATTGTTGCTATTTGTAAACAACAATTTTCTTAACAACATTGTGACTAAATTAATTTAGACAGAAGGTACAAAATTATATTACTTTTTTAAAGAATTAAACAACCAAATTGCATCAACTTATTATTAAAGGATAAAATTGAGTAATTCATTAACAGTGAAATAAAAGTGAATGTAGTAAGGTGATTAATTGCGGCTAACTTTTTTCTATTAAAAAAATCGATATTTTTTATTTTATCAACTTGTCTAGGGTGTTTATTGGTTGGTTGAGTAGGGTCGTATAAGATTTCGACGGACACATTATCCAACACATTAAAATAATATTGTGTTGGATTCAAATTTGGTATTTTATACTCTCTTTTTTGGGTTAAACTCAATTCAATCATATTTATACTTCATCAATTCTGTTAATTTTGAATTTTTTTTTAAATTATTTCTTTTCAAAATATTAATCTAATTAAAAATTACAATCTGTAAAAAAATTATATTGAACTTAAAGTAAATAACAAGTCAAATTATAATAAATTTGTACAAACTAATTTAAGATATAAAAAATATATTACTTAATATGTTAATAACACATGTATAAACGAGTCTAAGATCCTTTATACCAAACTTATAATCTAACCTATGTAAAAGTTAATTTGGATTAGATTGAATTTTAACCTAATAATATATAAAACTTAATTCAATCTAATTGAGTTGGATTGAGAATTATCCAGCCATTCAATGAATATAGCCACGGAAACAATTGAATTAACACTTACCCGTTTTTTTTTCTATTTTTTACTCTTTGAATATATTAATTTTTAAAATTATAGTTGTTTTTAACTGTATAAATCATTATTATTAAATAATCAATTTGATAAATATATTTTATTTAAAGTTTTAAATATTAAAGTAGAACTATTTACTGAATACATATTAATTAACAAACGATATTAAATTTACTGATTTTTCATTTCATAAAAAGTATTTTTTCCCTTCAAAAAAATTAAAGTTTAAATTAAAATATTCAAATAATATAGTCTAACAAAATTTTAAATTTAATACAAATTACTAATATACTAATTATTTAATTTGATCATTATATTATACACACAAAAAAAAACATGGTCGAGGGGGGTCGTTAACGCCTTGTTGATGAACCCCATTTATTAAATTTATTAATCTCAAAGGTAAATATTATAACTTAATTATTAATGTTTAATAATAATTTAATATTTACAAAATCAAATACGATGTTTTTAAAATTATATATTCAGTAATTATAAGATAAATAAGGTTTAATTAATTTTTAATTTCATGATAGATTTAACAATTTTTAATTAATTTTAAAAGAGAATACTTTATAAGAGGCTGATATCTCAAATCAAACAAATGATTTGTAATTAAACAAAATATATTATTAAAATAATAATAATAAAATATAAAGACCAAATCAATTCCAAAATATAAAAAATAATACTTATTTTTACAAAAAATAAAAAGTCTATATAACATAATACGATATCATTTACAATAAATTTTATTTTTTAATCTTGAAAACGTAACGTTAATTTTTCGCATTGAAAATGTAAAAACACCTAAAACAAATGTTTTTAATAAAGAATAAAAACATATCACATTAACTATACTTTACAGCGTAGAACAAATTTCAAACTGCCTTCATATTTAAAACTTTTATACTTTTTAAATCACATTTAATGTTACCATTTTAAAATATGTCTATGATATTATAAGATTGATAAAGAAAGCCTATTCTCTCAACATTTAAATAATATAACTGTAATAATAATAAATATATAAAATAATTAAAGAAAATTGATTAGATTACCCAGAATTACAAATTTCATAGATTTGTGATATAACTACAAACCCGTTTCAAATACCACACATAACTTATTACACATACCAGATTTATATAATCTATTTGATATCTATTTATTTGAGAATTTATAAATTCTGCTATGCATTTGTTCACAAAATTTTGGATTGTCTTTTTTATTTTTTATTACTCAATAATATTTATAAGTACAAATCTCACTTTTAATAGGTGCAAAAATTCTTTCACANTAAAAAAAAGAAAAAAAAAATAAGAATCATATGATTAAACCTTATACTTTTGTATTTAGTTCAAATAAGGCTGAAATAAGAGGCCCATATAAACTTTCAAAGCATAAACAAAAACAAAAGTTGTTTGTTGTTAGCATGATATCAAACTGTCTTCCAGTTTCAGTTGGGGCGAGCCCAACAAGGTTGTTGTCGGATAAACGCACCACACTGTATCAAGTGCGCCAAATTCACGCCTACTTCATCAAAACAAAGCTCATCAGTCACGCGCTTTCTGTCGCCAAACTTGTCAACGTTCTTTCTCAGAGCAGTGTCCCCTACGACGCCGTTTGCGTTTTTGTTCATGCACTTTCTGGCTTCCGTGACATCAGGGGAGTCGAGTTTTTGGTTCCTCCCACACTCAAAGCTTGTGGAAAGTCGTGGGCCTTTGAGGAAGGGAAACAAATAATGGGGTTCATTTTGAAAACCCATTTGTGGAACGACCCGTTTGTTACCAACTCCTTAGTTCGCATGTGTTTGGAGCTTGGCATGGTTGAACTTGCAAGGTCGGTGTTCGATAAAATGCCTACAAGAGACTTGATTTCTTGGAACTCGTTGCTTTCGGGTTACTTGAAAGCCGGTCAGATTGACATGGCACGTGAGGTGTTTGAGAGAATGCCTCAAAGGGACCTGGTTTCGTGTAATACCATGATTGATGGGTATGGGAAGCATGGGTCGTGCGAGCTTGCTGAGGAGGTTTTTATGGGCATGGGTGTCAGGGATGTGGTGACTTGGACGAGTATGATTTCAGCTTTTGTTCTCAATCATCAACCAAAGAAAGGGTTACGTTTGTTCAGAGAAATGTTGAGTTTAGGAGTTAGACCGGATGCTCCTGCTGTTGTTAGCGTCCTTTCAGCCATTGCTGACCTTGGTTTTGTTGAGGAGGGAAAATGGATACACGATTATATAGTTTCTAATAAGATACTTGGCAGTTGTAGTTTTATTGGATCGGCTCTCATAAACATGTATGCTAAATGTGGTCAAATAGAAAATGCCTACCACGTATTTAGAACCATTTGTCACCGGCGAAACATTGGCGATTGGAATTCTATGATCTCTGGTTTAGCCTTGCATGGTCTTGCCCGTGAAGCCATTGAACTTTTTCAGGAGATGGAAACGGAAAAACTTAAGCCTGATGATATAACTTTCTTGGGAATTTTAAGTGCTTGCAATCATGGAGGTCTTATGGATGAGGGTCAGTTTTATTTTGAAACCATGCAAATGAAGTACAAGATAGTCCCCAAAATTCAACATTACGGATGCATTGTTGACCTACTTGGTAGATCAGGTTGCTTAGAACAGGCACTTGAGGTTATACATGATATGCCTTTTGAGCCTGATGTTTTAATTTGGAAGGCCATTCTTAGTGCCAGCATGAAGCACAATAATGTTGTGTTGGGGCACACTGCTGCATTGAGAGCCACAGAGTTGGCTCCAAAAGATTCAAGTTGTTATGTTCTTCTCTCGAATATCTTTGCCAAAATGGGAAGGTGGGATGAGGTGAGTAAAGTTAGATTGATGATGAGAAAAAGGGGAGTAAGAAAAATTCCTGGATGTAGCTCTATTCTGGTGGATGGTGAAGTGCATCAATTCCTTGTGGGGAAGGCCATGAATGTGGGGTATAACCAAAGTGTTTTGCTGAAGTTAGAGGAGGTTGTGTGTAAGCTGAAATCAGAGGGATATGAACCTGATCTCAATGAAGTTTTTCTAGACATTGAAGAGTGTGAAAAAGAGAGCCAACTAATTCTTCACAGTGAAAAATTGGCTCTTGCTTTTGGAGTGTCAAGTCTCCCAGAGGGTGTTCCCATTCAAATAGTGAAGAATTTAAGAATTTGTTGTGATTGTCACAAGTTCATGCAACTGGTTTCAAAAATCTACAAACGTCAAATTATAGTCAGAGATCAAAACCGTTTTCACCATTTTAGTAAAGGTTGTTGTTCCTGCAGAAATTATTGGTAATTTTGTTATATATAGGTACCATAATGTATAAATATTGTTCAATTGCCACATCCAACAGGATGATTATGTAATGTTCTAGGATTATCATTTACAAAATTATACCAGTACAGAATTCATCATTTTCATAATTTTTACCATAATATTGATCTAAATAAAAAATAATAATAATGACATAAAGATATATAATAGGCATAAAGAAAAAAAAAATTATTTAAATTTAATCTCACAAATTGAGTTTAAAAAAACTATTCATATACACATCATGATAATTTATTTTGTTCCATTATCAATAAACAGCTTAATTTGATTTTTTAAAATTATTCCAATTATTCTTTTCTGTCCAAATCGACTTAAAGGGATTATGCTAATAGATGGTGAAATATTTAAATTCCCATTAAAAAATTGTTGCTATTTGTAAACAACAATTTTCTTAACAACATTGTGACTAAATTAATTTAGACAGAAGGTACAAAATTATATTACTTTTTTAAAGAATTAAACAACCAAATTGCATCAACTTATTATTAAAGG